GAATAATCGATTGTGATTGGCCAATTTCTTAAGTCTTACACCTTAAAGTCTCATTGTAGACACTTTAGTGTCGGTTCACAATAGCTGATTTAAACTTTAAGAAGTAGGAAATTGACCAATCATAATCAAATATGAAAAGAATACTCGACTATGATTGGTCAATTTCTTACGGCTCAAAGATTAAATACTTATTGTGTACCGACACTTAGTGTAAAATCTCTGTAAAATCATTTTTACATAAAATTAATTTTTATATTTTAGAATCTCAACAACTCTGACATCATACAAGATTTAAAAGATTCCAAGCATTGAAGCAGAGTGCACCATTGTCAGGGATAATTGTTAAATGGTAGAAATGGTATAATTAGTTAATAGGACTAGATACAATTGAAACAAATAGAAAGCAAGTAATTGACCTTCAGAATCAGTTATTCAAGTGTCAAGACAATAGGAGAGTTCATAATAAAGAATTAATGGATATTACTTATAAATTGCAAGAAGTCTATGCAAAAATGGTTCAAACAAAATGAGATGATCCCAAATATGTATAATAGTAGAACATAATCATTTACAGAAACAAAAGAAAATTTCAAATCAACAGATCTTATTGAAAGAAGAAGAGAAAGATAAATTCATTCAGCTGACAACTGCTACAAAAGAATATCATGATAGCCAAAATTTACATTCACAGAAATATAAATACTTGACTATTACAGTTTCTGCTATAATTGCAATTATATTATAATTCATTGGTTCATTACTACTGTACTACTATATAATTACAATGAATCGTTAATGTAAACAAATACGAACGAATTGTCTGACGTTAAAAAAACATTAGAGTCACTTGATATGAAGTTTTCTCAACAATTTCTAAAGTAATAAAGGATACAATAATAAAGGATAATATAAAAAAAATTATGATAACTCTAATATATTAAATACTTTTGTAGTTCGTATTAAGTATTTAGCAAATTTATATTATATTTATAATTTAGCAATTAGTTTCAGGCGCGAACTATATCAAAAAAAGAGTTTATGTGTATCATATGTAGCTTTTACAAGAAAATAATTGTACTGTAAAAATTTATATCACTAAAAATTGCTAAAAATTTATAATGCTTCGAACATAGTTAAATTTATATCATATCCTATGCTTTTTTTTATACATAATTATATAAAAGACAAATCATTTATTTATTATAATTTTTATAATAAATGAAATAATGTAAATGTTCTAATTAGAACAAAAGAATAGTTTAAAAGCTATTATAATAGTTTAAAAAGCTATTATTGAGAGAAATATATATTGAAAAGAACGATTTTGTAAGATAATAAAACCTATATTGTACACTTTGCCAAAATGCTTTATATTTTTTATAATTTATATAAATTTGCAGTTTTCATTGTTATTAGAATAACATTACATTGTATAATAAGTTATAAGTAAAAATTATTAAATAGAAATAGTATGATAAAAATGTGATTAACCAAATGTGAATATAAATTTTACTATCATATGTATACAAAATAAATTTTTTAAATTGTAAATTATTCTTTAGTTATTTCATGTAATAAAAAAACAAAATGCCATTCCCTAAAAATATCAATGTATGTAAACATGAAATTTACATGCTCAAGAAATAAGGAATAGAAAATATCACAATAAAACTAATAAAAATAACACAATATAAGCCTGTTCTTTTTAGCTGAACTCTTTGTACAATTTATTTTTTCTTTTTTCTTTATAACATGGAAAAGAATAGTGCAAGAAATTCAGCAAAAAAAATAGACTTAATAATAAATTCACTTCATAAAACGGTGCAATTTGTATAGATGATTTGCCAGCCAATCAAATGTATACGTACGGAATTGGCAAATAAGAACTTGGCGAGTTAAACCCCGATAGCAAAACCTGCAAAAACAGATTTTGAGCAAAGCTTGCTACCAATATTTGATGGCAAAAAAGCAACAAATTGCACACAGAGTCTGTAATATCTGACGTTGGGAACAAACTGCCCTTAAAAATAAAACAAAGCCTGCTGATATACTATGCTAGCAGATTGCTAGCAAAAACCGAGCAGAGCCTGTTACCATCGTTTGATAGCAAAAAGGCAACAAATTATACACAGAATCTGTAATATCTGATGATGTGAGCAAACTGTCCTTAAAAATATGACAAAGCTTACCGACATGTTATGCCAATAAATCGCTAGCAAAAACCGAGTAGAACCTGTTACTAACGTTTGGTGGCAAAATGGCAACAAATTACACACAGAGTCTGTAATATCTGACAATGTGAGCAAATTCTCCTCAAAAATATGACAAAGCTTGCTGACATGCTATGCCAGCAGATTGCTAGCAAAAACCGAGCAAAGCTTGCCGACATGCTATGCCAGCAGATTGGCAGCAAAAACCGAGCAGAGCCTGTCATTATATTTAAACATAATTGAAAAATTACCATTAGATGGCGTTCGTTAGATGGCGTCCGTTTCTCGCATGCAAAATTTATTAAACTTTCTATATAAACGAAATTATTCTATATAAGTGATATTAATCAAAATGTAAACATGCATTTATTATTTATTATTTTTATTTACGTATTTTTATATATATGTTTGATGCAAGACATAATCGTTCAACAAGGAAGTTAGAGAAAACTCTGTTCGATTTTTGCCGCCAATCTGTTCGCATAGCATGTCAACAGACTTTGCTCGGTTTCTGCCGCCAATCTTCTGGCACAGCATATTAGCAGGCTTTGTCAACAAATCCCGAGCCTAATGCGGACATAGATGGCTATGGATTTGCAGTCAATATTTGATCGAATTTGTTGCTAATTTGCTAGCAAATTGCTAACATTTTGTTTTCTGAGCACATAAACACGAAGATTAAAGAAACCGACGTAATGTTCATCGAAATAATAAAAAATTTTAAATAAACATAAATCCAAGAATCAATACTCATTGAGTTATATGTGTTATTAATTTTCAGATTAAACATTTTCGAATTTAGATCTAAAATTTGAGAGAAACTAGAAAGACATTAACGGATTATGATATTTATGATTTGATTGGCTGCTTAAATCACATGATCATAATGTTATTTTAAGTCTTATTTTATATAAAAATATATGTAAACAAATATAAAAAAACATTAAAAATTAAAATAAAATGAAAACTGGCCTTTCTTTCTTCAATTTTGTCCTTTTAGTATATATATATATATA